GTAGGAAGCATAAAACAATCCATGTCTTTAATGTTCTTCCAACTTGCTTGCTTTTTTTTGTACCCTTTTTTTTTTGGTACCGGGGATCGAACTTGGGTCCTTGGCGCTTGCGCAGCAGGCGGCGAAACCACTGAGCTAAATCCCCAGCCCTCACAGTGGAATTTGATGTCAAATGACTGTGTCATAATGGAATTAAAGGGCAGACATTAGAGTGTTCTTTTTCAGTTGAACTAAATTATTTCGAAAAGTCTGTTTTGGAGACAGAACCTGGATTATCAAATACAACCAAATTCTCCTTCAGGTCGCTATTGGTAGGGTAATGTTACCTAGAATATAGGATGAGGATCGGGTAATACTTCTTATCATTTAAAGAGAATATTTCAGCTTTACTGCAGACTTCAAAAAGTGACTTATCTCATTTTTTTAACTTCTGTACTTCTGGTCTTAACTGCTATATATTGGGCATCCCTGCTAGCAAACTAAGCTCTCTGGTTTTTGGTTTTGTTTTTTTTGCAGTACTGGGGATCAAATTCAGGACCTTGCACTTGCAAGGCAGGTGCATGGTGCCACTGAGCTAAATCCCCAGCCCTGAACTAAGCTCTTATGTATGACATTATGTTACTTTGTGCAGTATAAGTAGGCTTGGGTAGTAGCTATATTCTTGGATAGGCTATATATGTCCACTTTAATGTAGGTTACTCTCATTAAGATATATATATATATATAAATTATGCTTTAAGTATTATACATGACAATTCTTATAAAATGATTAACATTTGAATTATTTATATAGTAAGATACCCTTAGGATGTTTTAAAATATAGTTGAACTTAATTTAGATTTGTAAATACCTTGCCAGGAACACACATAAAACATTAAGATAGAGCCATGAAAACATTTTTAATGTTTACTTATTCACAGAATCATTGTGTGTATACTTTCTGTTTAGTTTGGGGCTATCTGTGGTTGGCACACTGCTTGTTTGGTATTTTCTACCTCATAGTACTGTGCTATAAATAAATAACAGCTTCTCCACTGGAAACAACTGTGGAAGGTTAAAGTCTCTGTGGGAAAAATCCTTTTCTAAGAGGTATAAAGTAAGGGACTCTTTGGAACTTAAAATGTTTTCTATTTAAGAACTTGTTTTTCAAAATAAAGAGATTTGAGTACCAAACCTTGAGAAAGAAGCTTAAAGCCTCTTTTTAGCAAGTAAGTGCTACAAATGTCACATCATTTAAATTGATTCTTTCTACAAACTACTACTATGAAACAATTTCTGGTGCTATATGCAGTTTAAAAAAATTTTTTTAGCTGGGGATTTAGCTCAGTGATTCTGGCACCTGCCTTGCAAGTGCAAGGTTGCGAGTTTGATCTCTGGTACCCCCCCAAAAAAATTATAAAAAAGTATATTTTATTGTCAAGTGGTTTTTATTTCCTCGTTTTTAAAATTTATAAAATTTAATCATTTTTAATTTAGTTACCCAGTAGAAATTCTCTTATTAGTAGAGAGATTTCTTTGTGTATGTGAAGAGCATGGAATTTACCATGTATTCATGATTTTATACAGGTACTCATAAAATTATTTGAAAATTAGAATTTTTAAGTCACTCAATAGTTAATATCCTAGGAGACATTTTTTACTGTGATAAATCATTTATATTTTCTTTTTGCTTTATGTGGAGGGTAGTTATAGCATGAAAGTTCTGTAGATTAACGGACAGAAAAAGGGAAAAAAACCTCTGTGATTAATAAACATAATAGTAACTACTGAGTACTTGAAGGTGGATATTTTTCCATTTTATTGTTAAATGCAGGGTATATTTACTTCTGGCACGTGGGAAGAGAAATCAGATGAAATTTTCTTTGCTGACTTCAAGTTTTCTATCACTCATCATTATCTTGTACTAGAGTCCACTGATACAGAAGGAGAAGATGAAGTATTAGAAGGTAAGTTTTTGGGCCGGGGATTTAGCTCAGTGGTTTCACCACCTGCTGCACAAACGCAAGGACCCAAGTTCGATCCCTGGAACCAAAAAAAAAAAAGAGGTAAGTTTTTATAAAGTTTTGACTTTTAAGAGTGGTTATAATTTTGAATTATGAATTTATGCCTGAAACCACAGATAGTATCAAATCCTACATGTACTATTTTTTCTAAAAATAAATCTACGATAAATTGTAATTTATTAGCTGGGCAGAGTAAGAGGTTGACAATTACTAATAAAGGAATATAGCAGTATATGAAAATAAAATTATCTAATGCTTATGAAGTATTTCTGGAATTTTTTGTTTAATTTTTCTGGACTGCATTTGGTAACTGAATCTATGGAAAGCAAAGCTGTGGATAAGGCAGTACTACTGTGTCCTTCCTTATTCAGAAAATAATGCAGATTGTGTGTTAAGAGTGTTTATAGTTAATGATTATTATTATTTGCAGGTGTAGGCCTACCTTTTCTTATGCAGGAACAGCATTATATTACCTTTTTTAACTTCCTCCCTCTCTCTCCCTCCCCCTCCCTCTAATTTCTCCAAAATATGGAGAATACAAATACAAGCACTTTATTTTAAAATGCAAACACAAAAGCAAAAGGTCGGGGATTTAGCTCAGTGGTTCTGCCACCTGCCTCACAAGCGCAAGGTCCCAAGTTCGATCCCCAGTACCAAACAAAACAAAAAAATGCAAACACAAAAGATTGGTATAAATCCAAAAGGTTTAAATTCTTCCGTTTTGGATAACTCAGTTAAGAACCTATGCAAGTTTGTTCCCAGGAGCTAAGGCATCACTTGGCTCTATGATGGAAAATGAACATGGTTTTCAGTATTTCAAATCTCACTATTATATAAAAGCCTAGAGAGACCAATAATAACCAATAACTTTAAAAGATAAGCTAAAAGACTCTTTTCTGTATTCAACTTTGCCATTGTTGGCCAGGTCTGTTTAATGTACTGTATACCCAAAGAAAATATACCCATTCTTTAATTTCTTACAAAATAACAGGTAAGGAATAGATTTAGGGGATGTAGAAAGGGAAAGAGAATTCAAAAAGTCCTTCTCTTTGGTAACTTTCACCTCAGAATCATCAAAAAGTGACCACTTCCCTTCATACTCCTTTAAGGTTTGCACTGCACAGGAAATTTGGTTCTCAGATCCACTCTTGTAAATACCTGTTTGGCACTAGATTCCTTGTTCCTATCTACTTTGTAGGTCCTGTTAGTATAGTTAGTCTCAGAACTTCTACTTTCAGGAAATGTACTGCCAGCCTTATCAGGATTAAATGCTTTGTTTTACATCTGATAATCTGATTTGCTCTTTTGTCCTCCAAGAAATCCAATAGCATCTACATTTTTTGTTTTTGAGTTGGGTGTGGTGGCACATCCCCGTAATCCTAGCACTGGCAAGGCTAAGGCAAGAGGATCACTGTGAGTTTGAGGTCAGCCTAGGCTACCTATTGATTTCAAGACCACCAGCGTGAACTACATAGTGAGACTCTTGTCTCAAAAAAAAAGTTACTTGGCTGTGTATGTCCACCAACTGTCATCGACACTTCATCATTGCAATTTTCAACCGCACTTCTCACTTCCTTCTCATTCATTGGCTCTGGTTTACCTACTTCGCACATTTGGTCAACCGCAAAATTTTCCTTATCTAGTTCTAAGCTATTGAGGTCTGTGACTAATAGAAGCAGTGTAATACCCACTGCTAATTGTAATACCACTATTCATTAAAATTGGAAATAATCCATAGCTGTCATTAGTTGGCCTTGGGCTCCATTCTTCTAGTGACAACTTAAGAGGTATCAATAAAGGAGTGTTAATCTTGGGAAGTCCATCACTATAACAAACTTCAAGCCATTAGCCACAAAGCACTTCAAATGAATAGTTATAATTTCAGGCATTTTGTCAAACAGAACACTTTGTCTGGCTTCAGTGTAATGATGGAAATTTTCACAGAAATATTTATCTTCTACAATACTCTCCACTGAATCAAATTGTGAAATTGCCCATCTCAAGATCTTCAATTCTGTTTTTGGCTCTGGAGAAATTTCAGAACTCTCCTCTACTTTGGAAATCTCAGCTTCTTGTACTGGCATATTGATGTCCTGAAAACTTTCTCTTCTTTCTCTTAAACTTTGACATTCCAAGCCATGAGTCCTTAATACCATCTGACCTTGAAATAATTTTTCTGCTAGGTCAAAACCAATTTGCTCTGCACCTTTATTTATGAGTTTAACTTCATTAACATCCATAGGTATAATTTTTTTAGGGATTCAAATCCACAACCATTAGTTATATTATAGCTTTTGTACTTCCCAAAGTCCTCTTCAAAATCATACTCATTTTCTTTAGATTGTCTTTTGGATCCTTGGTTTGTTTTTAGTTTTCCCAGACTACAGAATTTAGAAAGAATGCTGGGTTGCCTTGTTGCAGACTTTACCCAATGTATTTTAACTCTTGATTTCTCTTGTGAGGGTCTTATGCTCTCATTTTCAGAAACATGCTTGGGATTACTTTAGGAGAAGCCTCCAGTGTATTATCAGTAGCTTTTCATTTTGAACTAGTTTGTCTCAGGTTCTCATCCAGTGATGGGTGTTCCTTGGAAACTAACTTTCATGTTACCAATTCAGTGTCATGTTTTCTTTTCCTATTCCGTTTTGAGGGTTTTTCTTTATAGTCCTCAGAATTCCTCATTTTATCCATCTGTGTGCTATTAATTCTGCTCATTTCCTCTTTCTGATGAGCTTTTTTTTTTTTAACCTTGTAGATACTTCTGCCACATTTTTTACTTCTTTTAGGAGTTGGTGTGTTTCTTAAATGTTTCCCAAAAATACATTATAATACTTCTTGTGGTCATGCTATAGATATCCTTCATGCATAGAGTTGAGTTCTCTGAGTATGTAAAGCAGTCATCTTGGCTGAATAGCAAGCTTATCAGTGTATTTCTCTGGATATAAGAGGACACTAGCCTGAAGCAGTTAAGCTGAAATGATTAAGGACTGTAAACTGCATATAAATAGGTTTATAACTTGCCAAACAGTCTTCTTTGTAAATTCCCTTGTCTCTCTCTCTCTCTTTTTTTTTGGTACCGGGGATCAAACTCTGGTCCTTGCGCTTGCACAGCAGGCGCTGAAACCACTGAGCTAAATCCCCGGCTCTCCCTTGTCTCTTTGATTGTCTTCAGCCTTCAACACCTTTCTTCTTTAAAATAATATTAAATAAATGCTTCACTCTAAATTAAAAACCAGGACAAAAATATAATACCTGAAGTACACTATTTTTTTTGGTTTTTTTGTACCAGGGATCAAACTCAGGGCCTTGTGCTTGCGAGGTGGGCATTGACACCACTGAGCTAAATCCCTGGCCTGAAGTACGCTATTAAGATAATAGATACTGCCTAGATTATTCAGCCCCACAAATGGTAGCAAGTTTTCCCTCTTCTCGCAGTTTATAGTTGAGAACTGCACTGAAGGAACAACTTAGTTAATTTTTGATCCTCTGTATTCAGAAACTTTTTCTTCATTTTCTTGAGTCTATAAAATCTAAGGCTCCCTTTAGTTTCCTTTTTTCCTGAAAAAACTTCAAGGAAAGTCTGTCTTTCTTGGATGGACTACTGAAAGCCCATTATTTTCACTAGCTATGACATCAGGGATTTTCTTTACAAATCCCAAGGAGTTGACAAGAATTTATAAAGAGCAAGTGCAAGCAGCAATTTTATCTGGTCTTGGCCTGGCCCACTGCTCGCATGCAATCATGGACCCTGTTGGTGCTCAAGTCCCTGGCAACGCCCAGGAGGAAGCTGGAGAGACGCTCCCCAGTGAGCCAAGGGAAGTTGGTGTGATTTCCTCAGTGAGGAGCCTGGACCTCTGGTTGTCTACACCACTTTGGGGTGGCCCCACACTCACCAGCACCAGGCCCTTGCATCCCTCCCCCACCCCCAGGACTCACGCTGCAGGAAGGGTATTACCTTTTCTATTATACACATACCTACAAATAAAGCAATTAGGTAACACCTGTTTTCAGATTTATAAACTAGGACAGATAATACTGACCGTACACATGTTAGAAAACTATATAGCAAAAATAAAATAATTAGAATATGAATATGTGGACTTTGAGAGTAAGAAGAAAAAGGAAACTGGGTATGGTTGGCAGGAAGTCTGATAATAGCCCAGGGACCTCTAGAGCCAATATTCTTTTTTTTCTTTTCTTTCCTTTCCTTTCCTTTCCTTTCCTTTCCTTTCCTTTCCTTTCCTTTCCTTTCCTTTCCTTTCCTTTCCTTTCCTTTTCTTTTCTCTTTTCTCTTCTTTCTTTCTTTCTGATTTTAAAAAATTTATATTTTTGCTTCTTTGAGACTTGGCTTGAATTGAACTTACTGTGTAGCACAGGCAGGCCTCAGAGTTGCAGCAATCTTCCTGCCTCATCCTCTCAAGTGCTGGTGTAACAGGCATGGACCACCATGCCTGGCTCAAAATGAAACATTCTAATACTGATTAATGAAGGAAACTTTTCAAGATAGAGAAATTTTAAATGCTATTAATTTGAGAAAATACATCAGCGAAAAGCTATTAAAATGAGATATTTGAATTAGTGTTTTTGAGATGAACTGATGCAAAGGACTGTGGTATATGAGAATAAAAGAAGATAACTGTATTTAAGGTAGTTAAGGCATTGTTACTTGTATGTGCATATTGAGCAGTTTTCTTTATTTAGCTGTGATTGAAGCTATAGCTAATGTAGAAGTTACAATCTATCAGCTTAGTTATTTAGAAATACACAATTAACACTTTTATCAGAGGTAAGAAGATTTGAACACTGGTCTTTTATTGGTCTGGAGTTGCTTATTTTTGGTTAAGTGGAGTGTTAAATCATTAGTATTGTCCTATTTATTTTAGCAAATTAACAAATTATGAATCTGCTAAGCAATTATAGTAACCCAACAAAAGCAAATATTTTTTATGCACAGATATCTTTATGCTTTAAATTTATGTGTGAGTATAAAAATACTAGACTTTATTATGAATTACAGTTGAAATGTTTAAAGATACATGGATTAGAGGTGGAAAGCTGGGTACAGGTTTACAAAAAGTTTTAAGATGGCCAGGGTCACAGAAAAGGCTTTTTTGGGTGGTAATAATGAAACTCAGTAGAGTTTTGAAGAAAAGTAGAGACAAGGAGAGGCTGAGAAGAACAAATGATGGTTTCTAGTATGGGTGAGGAATTGAGTCATGATTTATGAGCAGAAATAGATTTTTTTATAGATTTTCTTTGTTTGAAGAAAGGAAAAGAGTATCACCCTCCCACCCTCAAAGTCTTAGACCTAGCCCTAGATGTAAATCTTTAAGCAACACAAAGCTAGGCTAGTAAGATGCATGTTTTCTCAAAGCATATTATAAAATTCTATCTTAAAATGAACATACTCTTTCATTTTCAAATGTTTTTATAGATGCTATTCCACAATCTATGAAAGATTTGCTGTGTATGAATAATGACTTTCCTCCGAGAGCACATTGCCTGGTAAGATGGTATGTATACATTTTATTTGGGTATCTTTTATTATGTGTGTCTGGGTGACCCGAGACTGCCCCTGCTTCCAATGACTTATGAGGAGGACTCACAGGACAGCATCTAGTTAGTTGTACTTACAGCTGATTTATTATAACAACATAGGACAAAGCAAAATCAGCAAAGGGAAAAAACACATGAGGCCAAGTCCAGTGGAAGTGCAAGCTCTTAAGAGTCCTTTTCTAATGGAGTTATGCACATTATATTCAGTTCCCTTGGAAACATTGTGACAATACAGTGAAACATTGCTTATCAGGAAAGCAGGTTAGATGTTCAGCCTTCAAGATTATAAATGATGGGCTGGTCAGATAGGCACCCTCTGGTTAGTATATAGCAAAACTTTAGTGCAGCAAGAAAGCAGGTGTTTAGCATATATCACACTTGCATAAATATTTTAGACACAGCAAGTAACACTTTATCAGTTCTGGAAATAGTGAGAACCCTCTCAAAATTTAAATTTCCAGGTGCCAGCCAAAAGCATGTAGGCATGCTTTTCTAAGGAAAGCAGGTGTAGACTTGCTCTTAACTCATCTGCATGGTATGTTTCATAGTCTAGGGTAATGCTTAACTATAATTCTCATGGCTAGCATGTAATACTTTGAAATTTTATTTTGTTAGAAATTGAATTGATAAAATGTTGATCAAAGTTATGTGATAAAATCAACCTGTATCTAAACTATAAATGTGATACATTAATTAAGAGGCATAACACATTTAAAAGATCACTTCCATCTTTTTCAGTTATTAAAAAGAATATGTGAACTTTATTTATGTTGGAGGGGTGGGAGTAAAACATACCTCACAAAAATGTCTTTAGTATGAGGAGGTGGTCAAGAAAAGAGACTTAGCTAAAGGAAGTTTATATACTGGTTTTAAATCATTGTTGGTGTAGATTGATCTTTCCACTTTTTTATTAAAGAAAAAATTCTAAGGGGAAATTTATAATATCTACATTTCTTCATTCTTCGTTGTGATCACTCTAGAGAATGGACGTTTAAAAAAAAGAGAAAACTGGCTGGGTATGGTAGTATATGCCTATAATCTTAGCTACTTGGGAGACTGAGGCAGGATGATCAAAGTTTGAGGCCATCCTGATCAACTTAGTGTGACTCTGTCTCAAAATAAAAAAATCAAAAGTGCTGTAGATGTAGCTCAGTACACCTGGATTCAGTCTCCAGTACCGCAAAACAAAAAACTATCTACAAGTGTACATAAACTGGATAATATTCCATAGATATTTGTTTGTCTTTTTAAAATAGTGAACATAACTGAAACAACTTTAGGAAGAAGGAATTTAATATACTTTCCATTTTTTTAAAGAAGGAATTTAATGCAAACATTACATCGTATATTTCATGTAATCCTCCTGGATTCTGTTCTTGTCTTCTAAAATGTGATTATATGCATTTAGCATGAATAAATATATTAGATGACAGCATGGTATTATACAGCCTGGGCTGTGCATGCACACATTTATTCAACATTAATGAGATACTTATGGTTGGGCCAGACACTGAATTAGACTAACAGGTTTAATTCCTATAAGGTATTTACTGTTTCTTCAACTTTGGAAAGTTATTTAATTTCTTTAAGTTTGTTTCTACATTGTTAAAGTCAAGATAATAAATACTGTACATCTTTTAGGTAGTTGTGATAATTAAGATCATGACATAATAGGTTTATCAAAATCTGAATGCTGTCACATAATAGCTGTTCAGCCTTTTAATATATATATTTCCCCAAACTATGCTTGCACATAGACCATGGCTAAAAACATTCATTGAGTCAATAAATATATGTAAACTTTGTTCTTTTAAAAAATGTTAACAGTCAATAAAATTGATTTTTAGGGGGCGAGGGAGTGACTAGATCTCTGAAATTATTATATAGATTTCCTTTTTTTTTTTTTTTTGGTACCAAAGATTGAATTTAGGACCTTGGGCTTGCGAGGCAGGTGGTAGCACCACTGAGCTAAATCCCCAGCCCCTAGATTTTCCTTTTAACTACTATGACAATCTAGATATAGAACAGTTCTGTAACCCCCTTTTACAAAAAGCCTTGTCTCATAGTCATACTTTTCTACATCCTTGTAATTCTGGAATCACTAATCTGTTTTTGGTCACTGTGCTTTTATTCTTTCAAGAATGTCTTATGAGTGGACTTATATACAATCATTGGAGACTGGCTTTTACTCAACATAGTATCTTTAATAAGATTCTTTGAGGACCGGGGATTTAGCTCAGTGGTTGCACCATCTGCCATGCAAGCACGAGGTCCCGAGTTGGATCCCCGTACCGGAAAAAAAAAAAAAAAAAATTCTTTGAAATAATTCTGTGTGTCAGTAGTTTCATCCTTTTATTGCTAAGTATTTTATTGTAACGATGTACCACAATTTAATCATCCATTCGTTCATTGAAAGATATTAGGGTTGTTTCTAGGTTTTGTCATTATGAATAGAATTACAGTAAATATTTGTATACAGATTTTTGTGTACATTTTCATTTCACTTTAGTAAACACTTATTGGATCGCTAAGTCACATGCTTAAGTGTATATTTAACTTTGTAAAGAAGCCAAGCTGATTTTCAGAGAAGCTGTACCATTTTGCATTCTCACCAACAATGTATGACAGTTCCATTTGCTCCATTTTCCCACCACCACTTATTTCTGTTTTAGCCCTTCTAGAAGTGTGTAGTTGTATCTTATCCTAATTTTAAACTTTGAGCATTGTTCATTTTTTTTTTTTTTTTTGGTATCAGGGATTGAACTCGGGTCCTTGCACTTGGCGAAACCACTGAGCTAAATCCCTGGCCCCGCTTGTTCATGTTTATCTGTTCACTATATGCACTCTGTTGAAGTGTCTGTTCACGTCTTTTGTGCATTTTTTTTTTTTGGGGGGGGGTTACCAGGGATCGTACTCAGGTCCTTGCACCTGCGAGACAGGTGCCGGAACCACTGAGCTAAATCCCCGGTCCTTTTGTGCATTTTTAATTGATTTTTTTTTTTATTAAATTATTTTATTGGTACATTGTAGGTAT